GCACTGTGGGTAAAAGCCTCAGCGCCTAGGGCTTGCTGATCGAAAGGTCGGCGGTTCGAATCCCCGCGGCGGGGTGCGCTCCCGTTGCTCGGTCCCAGCGCCTGCCAACCTAGCAGTTCGAAAGCACCCCCGGGTGCAAGTAGATAAATAGGGACGGCTTACTGGCGGGAAGGTAAACGGTGTTTCCGTGTGCTGCGCTGGCTCGACAGATGCAGCTTTGTCACGCTGGCCACGTGACCCGGAAAGTGTCTCCGGACAGCGCTGGCCCCCGGCCTCTTGAGTGAGATGGGCGCACAACCCCAGAGTCTGTCAAGACTGGCCCGTACGGGCAGGGGTACCTTTACCTTTATTCCCACCTCTAGAGTGCATTACATAGGAACATAGTCAAACTGTTGGGTCTAGCTTTGAACTGTCTACACTGGCCAGCAACAGCTCTCCAGGATTTCAGACAGCCTTTTCTCTCAGCCCTACCTGGAGATTTCACTGGGGAAATCTAGGACTTCCTTTAATCTGTCCTGGATCTCCCAATATTCAGCTTCGTTGGAGGTTGATGGATTCTAGCGTCAAGAGAAAGGGAGAAAAATTTTTCTCTACCCACTTCCTCCTCTTGCTTGCCTTTTTCTTCTTCTAAACTTTACACATGTTGAGATCTCCTCGCAGGGGCGGTGTGTCCTTTATCGCCGCTGCAGATGAAACAGGAAGCGCTGTCTTGCTGGACCACTGCTGCCACTGCTGCCGCCACCTACCTGCTCCTGCCACCACTGCATGCCCTGCCCCATCCACCGTTGGCAGAGAAGCAGTGCTGCCATCGGCACCAATTTCAGGCAAGATCATACCGATTTTGGGTGAGGTTTTGCCCCAAATCGCACAAGATCTTGCTTGCTCTGCAAGATCTCATTCAAATCGAATCAAGTACCTTTATCAGCATCACGATATTATTTTCAAAAAATATTTTTATCAAACAATTTCAACATAACAAATTATCAAACCATATACAGTGGTACCTCTGGTTGCGAATGGGATCTGTTCCAGAGGCCCGTTTGCAACATGAACAGAACGCAATCACGGGTCGTGATTTGCCTCTTCTGCGCATGCGCATGACATCATTTTGCACGTCTGCGCATGCGCTAGTGGCGAAACCCAGAAGTAACCCTTTCCGGTACTTCCAGATCGCCGCAGGACGCAACCTGAAAAAACGTATCATAAAGCAAACGTAACATGAGGCATGACTGTAATCCCATACATTATTTTCCCCCTTTTTCCCCACCCCCCCTCCACCACCCTCCCCACCACCAGGGACTTCCCTCAGCTCCTTTCTCTGATTTCTCTGCACATATTGTTCTCTGCATGTTATAAAATTATATATATCCTTACATTATCTATCTATCTATCTTGTTATCAATTTTTGTATGTTTATTCAAAACCTGCCAAGGAATCCATTTCATTTTGTTGTCTTTTTAGACAATTTGTAAAAAGTTCCCATTCTTCCTTAAAGTCACAGTTGTCCTTGTCCCACAGTTTGTATGTCAATTTAGCCAGTTCTGCATAGCTCATCAATTTTTCTTGCCACTGTTCTTTCGTTGGGATTTCCTCATTCTTCCATCCTTGTGCTATCAAGACTCTTGCCGTATTGGCATCACAATATTAAACATTTCAAGTTACTGGGATCATTTAAAAGGGCAAGGGTGAAGCTGTTGAGGGTAGTAAGGTCACGCTGTGATCATGTGCACTTAGGTATTCCGCTTCGCCCTGTCTATTCCCCAAAAGGATGGTTCATTGGGAACCCTTTCTTGTAAAGTTGTGGCTAAAAAGGAAGCTACTAAGGCCATGATATCTTTGTCTCGATCTGACGGGGAGAAACCTCATTTGACTTCTTCTCGGATTTGTAGGTCGGAGGTCCAACATTGTGATGGCCTGGGACTCAGGCTCAGACTCGGACCCAGAGGAGTCTCAGACCACACCGGATCCTTTGCCTCAGGTGGCATCTGAACCAAGTCTAGGGCCTGATTCTGAAGAGCCCCAGTCTGCACAGGTTCCCCTGCAACAAGCAGCAGCTGGGCCCAGTCAGATGCGGGGATTATCTCGTTGCCTTCATCTGGGCCATCACTTACAGCTGCTCCACTACCAGTTGGGTCAGGAGAGGCTGAGGCAGCCTCTGGGTCTAGTAATCCACCGACATCTCCTGAGCTGCAGAGACTAAAGTCTGAGAGGAGAGACCTGAGTACTCGCAGGAGGAGTGCTCACTTTTGGGCGAGACAGGCAGGTGAGTCACCGGGGGATCAGGACCGGCCATTATCCCAACAAAGATAAAAGGCTGTTGGACCCCACCCCAGGTTGCGGGAGCAACATTGCTGCTTGCTAGAACCTGTCCAAGATCCTGTGCCTAACCTTGCCTGGTTTCCTGCCTTGTGTCCTGCCTTGGCCCTGTTGGGCTGACTCTTCACGGAATGCTTGAATTTGGGACTGGACCTGGACCGCGTTTCTCAGGTTAACCCCCGGGCTCAGCACAAACATTTTGCTCAGCATCAGTTGGCGAGGTCTGCTGTGTAAAGGGCAATCTTTGAGATTGTGGTCCATTGAATCAGCTACTCCGTGGTTGCAAGCACACAGATGTGCTTGATATGGAGTATGTAAGAATCTGCCTTTGGTCACTGCAGAAGGGAAGGCATTTAATCTTGCTCACCTCTAAACCTTGGTTTATTACCCCTCTTAAGGCTCCCAAACTATTTGAATTCCTTAACTTCTTCGGCTCATAGATATGCCTTTGTAAAGGCAAGATTCAACACCTTCCCATCGAACGTGCTGAGAAATAGATTCTCTAATGGACAGATATCGCTCTTATGTGATTGTAATTGTGGGGCACCGGAATCGTTGCATCACATAATTCTTGATTGTGCTTTTCACTCATCGGCCAGGAGCAAGTTTCTTGCTCAATATCTAAAAGGAATTGCCGATGATACGATTGAAGCCAAACTGAGATATCTATTAAATGATGATGACCCCCTAAGATCACTCACGGTTGCCAGATTCTTGATCAGCCTTCTATCCCTAAAGAAGAGAAACGGACTCCTGTGTGGCTCGGATAACCCCTTTAAACCATGATCTATGTTTTAGGATGCAATTAGGTGATATCACCATTGATGTCTTCTATTAATTTATGAGCAGAGGGCGATGTTTATGTTACAAATTTATTGTAATGTATGATGTTGGTCTTTTGTTTTTGTTTTGCTTTGGTTCTTGTCTGTTTTTTGTAAGCTTTGGCGGTTTTAAATTTGGAGGTTCAAGTACATTATGTTGGTAGGGGAAACTGTCGTGTGACGGGCCAATGGCCGTAATAAAGATCAATCCAATCCAATCTGGCAAGCATAAAGGAAGATCTCATTCAATTTCAAGCAAGATCATGCCCCAAATGGTTGTGATCTTGCCCAAAATTGGTACCAATGGTGGTGACGCTTCTCCACCACTGTCACAGGCAGCTAGGCAGGTGGGGCACCCATGGGTGTGTCTCCTGGGGCCTGAGGTAGTGGACTCAGCCTGCCTAATGGCTGTGCCAGCTCTGTCTCATTGTTGGCTTTTGTCTTCAGCGGCCAGGGTGCCCTCACAACCTCCCTTCAGCACCCCTGCCCCCAGGTTGGTGCTATGCTGCTCAGGCTGGAGGGAGCCCAGCTCTGATGGTTGGGAACCGATGATGGGATTTGTAATCCAAGACATTTGGAAGGTACCAAGTTGGGGAGAGTTGGGATGAATAAATGTCACTTTTGCAAACATTCGTGCCAGCTGTGAAGAACTGTGCAGGTTTTAAGCAAAGATCCACAGTGTAAGAACTTAACTTTATATCCATGGAAAGATGGTCTGTATCTTTTTTTTTACAGAAAGTGGCAAGTGCTCCACCAAATTTATTCTTTCAGCGATTCCATACCGCTATCAGCATGTTCTTTTGAAAGGGGCCACCTTTTCCTTAAAAGGGACGCAGGTGGCGCTGGGGTCTAAACCACTAAGTCTAGGGCTTGCAGATCAGAAGGTCGGCGGTTCGAATCCCCGCTATGGGGTGAGCTCCCGTTGCTCGGTCCCTGCTCCTGCCAACCTAGCAGTTCGAAAGCACGTCAAAGTGCAAGTAGATAAATAGGTACCGCTCTGGCGGGAAGGTAAACGGCGTTTCCGTGCGCTGCTCTGGTTCACCAGAAGAGGCTTAGTCATGCTGGCCACATGACCCGGAAGCTGTATGCCGGCTCCCTCGGCCAATAAAGCGAGATGAGCACCACAACCCCAGAGTCGTCCATGACTGGACCTAGTGGTCAGGGGTCCCTTTACCTTACCTTTCCCTTGCTTACAGGTGTTAACAGAAGAGGCTGTTGACCTTCGCAAACAGTTTTTGTGTATGCATGGATCAATTAATCATATCAATTTAAAGATGTGAGCAGGGAAGACAAAGAACTGTAGCCATTGGAGCAACAGACCTCAGAATGTTTTCTCGCGTTAAATTCATGTTTCCTTGAAAATTTGATTGTCTCTAGGGGTGACAGCCAACTAGGATTACTCAGAGTAGACCCGCTGAAATTAACAGTCCTAACTTAGTCATGTTCACTAATTTCCGTTGAGTAAAACATAGCTGAATGCCACACTAAAAGAAAAAGTCACAAGAATGGAACTTAAAAATGTAAAAAAAATCCAGATTTCTGTCCATCCTGATCAAGGCAGATGTTGGAATGTTACTTGACATTTCACACAACAGGCTTACTAGGCAAGCTGTGTTTGTTTTGTGGGATTAAACTCGGTCTTAATTCAGCAGTTTTAAAATGACGCCTCCCACCCATTCCTTCTGCGCAATCAAATGTTATCAAAAAGTGTATTGATTATATCTTTTATCGGCCTCATGTGGCTTATCGGTAAGGCGTCACCCAGTTTCCTTGTCCTTCGCATACACGCCCCAGGTCTGAGGAGGACCAGCCCCACTGTGATAAGGGGGCCCTACCCCTCCAGACTCTCCACACCTAATATTTGAAAACCAGAGTATATAAAGTGGAAGGGTTCCTCTTTAGCTGATCCCGCACCTCTTCCAGCGACAAAATGAAGCTGATTGTGAGTATACACAACTTTTCATTTTCTGCTGAAAGCCCATATGATGGAAAACCTGATTTATCCCTAAAACCTCTTCTTTTTGTGGGAAGCAATTTCTAGATTTCATTTATGTATGTATTTATTTTATACTGCCTTTTCTCTGAAGGAGTTCGAGGTGGTATAAATGATTCTCCACCCCCCGTTTCATCCTCACAAGAAGCCTGTGAGGTAGCTTAGGCCAGGGTCGCCCAGCAAACTACGTACCTCACAGGGCTGTTTTCGGGATTAAATGATATGGGGAGAACCTTACCCTCCTTGGAGGAAAAGCAATGCAACAAATAACATAAAATACATCTGCTACATCATATGTAGACCTGGGGGGCTTCAGCTCCTTGAGGAATATGCAAGAAACACGCTCATGGTGAAACAGCCCTCCTTCCCATGAATGCTCTTGAGCCGCTGTGCTTAAGAGCTCTTAACTCTGTGATGGATTGCGGTCTTAATCTTAAAACATGAAGTAACCCCCATGCACTAACAAACACAACTGTCCTTCTAGCTACTGGAAAATTGAACGTACATAGGGTGTTGCAGATGGAATCCTAATGTCAAAGTTGGCTGCCTTCCAATGGCCATTGGAAATCAAGGCACTTGGGAAATTTCTCTGCCCTACTCAGAATAATTCGATAGCCAGTGCATGCTTGAATCCATCTCTAGTTGCCGGAAGTCCAAAGTAGGAGGCAAAGAGTAAAGGCACTTTATGCAGCAAAGGAATGAGCGAGAAACGGCCGGATCCACAGCCTGAGTTGTTGCTGTTTTTTGTAGATTAGTTTACAGTACAGTGGTACCTCGGGTTACATATGCTTCAGGTTACATACGCTTCAGGTTACAGACTCCGCTAACCCAGAAATAGTAGCTCGGGTTAAGTACTTTGCTTCAGGATGAGAACAGAAATTGTGCGCCGGCGGCAGCGGGAGGCCCCATTAGCTAAAGTGGTGCTTCAGGTTAAGAACAGTTTCAGGTTAAGAACGGACCTCCGGAACGAATTAAGTACTTAACCCGAGGTTCTATTGTATTCTAAATACTGTACTGAGATTGTGTTTTAATTTTTTTTAAAAAACCGAGTTGATTATAAATAGAAGATGACTGTCATGTAACGCTACTCTTCTTCTGAAATCTGTTCCAGGCTCTGAGTGTTGCACTCCTGGGCGTTCTCCTAGCCCCCACCTTAGCCGATAATGTAAGTACTAAGACAGATTAAAGACACTGCTCTCATTACATTATTTCTGTCTTGTTGCCGCTCTTAGAAGCTGGAAATTGGATGTGCTCTGAGGCTGCCCTTATATCTTGGTGTAGAATTCTGCATGGTGAGACCCTCTTGCACTGTGAATGTGGGCACAGCAGCTATGGGGACATTCTTGAGCCTTGCGTAGGCTGGCCGATTTGCCAGATTTTGAGGGAAAGGAGCCGGGTGCTCTTCCAAAGATTCCTGCATCGCAGAGGGTTGGACTGGATAACCCTTTGGTCCTTTCCAACTCTACATTTCTAGGATTCTATCATCTCCAAACGCAGCTTGAGAAAAATAATGTTTCAGACTGAACTGTGCCTGAGAGCTGGCTTCAGTCATGCTTACTGAGGTGGACGTCCACTTTTGTTCTATTCTGCATTTACAAAGAAATGTTTATTGCGAAATCTGGAACACTGAAAATCTGACTGTCTTGCTGTTCTTCATTTTCCCCACTCAAGAATATCAGCGAAAAGAACCAGGGAAATGTGGGGGGCCATTCCCATCAGTCTGTGAGCATTGACAACCAAAAGCAGGTGGTCAACGTAGACAACAACAATGGCTGGCACTCCTGGAACAACATCTGGGATTACGGCACTGTAAGGAGCACCCACACATTCAGATGCCTTTGGGTTTTTTACTTGGGATAAGGAAGGAATTCAGTTTAGTTCACATAAAAAAATATGAATTGATCGAATTTGTGATTTCCGAAATGGTATGAGAACAATAGAGTATGCAGTATTGGGGAGGGGGTGAAATGAAGCTCAGTTCTACATTTTATGCAGATCTGCCTCATCACTACTTCCCAAGGCAATATGCCAAATGAGGCACAGCTCTGCAGATTTCATAATGCAGTTCTTCATCCCAAAACTGCACAAAACGCATGTATTTATTTCATAAAATTTATATAGTGGTCAATTGCAGGAAAAAAAACCCTACTGAAAGTAGTTTGCAAAAATAAATTGAGGGAATATAATTTGTAAATTTGTGTATTAGTGAACATGGGATGCGGGTGGCGCTGTGGGTTAAACCACAGAGCCTAAGGCTTGCCGATCAGAAGGTTGGCGGTTCGAATCCCCGCGACGGGATGAGCTCCCATTGCTCAGTCCCTGCTCCTGCCAACCTAGCAGTTTGAAAGCATGTCAAAGTGCAAAAACAGGCACCGCTCCGGCGGGAAGGTAAACGGTGTTTCCGTGCGCTGCTCTGGTTCGCCAGAAGCGGCTTAGTCCTGCTGGACACATGGCCCGGAAGCTGAAAGCTGGCTCCCTCAGCCAATAAAGCGAGATGAGTGCCGCAACCCCAGAGTCAGCCATGACTGGACCTAATGGTCAGGGGTCCCTTTACCTTTTCCTTTATATTAGTGAACAGTATATATAAAATTGCACTAGATTAGGGAATATTGTATGCAAAACTTTTTACTTCTATAAAAGTTGTGAGTTTGAGGCAGTAATGGGGTGAGCCCTGTTTAAGACTGGAAAACTGAAAAAAAGTAAAATTGACAGAATTGTCCCTTCCTGCATAATGCTCATCTGACTACTCCTGTTTTGCTTGGACAGGGCTACATGGCAACCCGGATCCTCTCCAAGAAATCTTGCATTCTTACCAAAATGAATCGAAATGTCATGCCAGATGTGACCACTCTTCCAGAAGCCATCAAGGAAAAACAGGTAAAGCCAAGAGGAGCCTTGTTCGGTGGATTTCAAAGAGGATTAGACAAGTTCTTGAAGAATAAGGCCTTCAACAGCTAACGACTAAATTTGCATTTCCTGAAATAATATGAGTACATCCAAAGTTGTCCTTCAAGATTTCTGCTAATTTGAATTTGGGGCCTTAATTCTCCAACCAATGGTCACAGAAATGCATATGACCCACTCAGTCCCGTCTTTCAATTCTGTGCTGTTGCTCCCCCCTGTTTAGAAGGATCGTACCAAAGGGCCGGCACCCAAGAACCTCACTTACATGGTTACTCCCAAGAAGATCACTAACCTGGCCCCATATGGGAAGAACATTGAAGCCCTGTGCAGAGGGATCCCTACCTATGCTGCTTATGAATTCGCAGGTGAGTCCTCAACTGAAAAGGGTTTGCAGAGTGCAAAGAGTGTATTCCTGCTTCAGGAACAAGTTGACCCTGAGATAACTGATTGGGCAGCTGGCTAAAAATCTTGAGACTGGATATAAAAAAAATGTGCAGCCTCAGTTTTAGGTTAATAATAAATATGATAATATGCAGACCTGATGAAAATATTGAGATCCTAATGACATATCAATAATGCAAGCACACCCATGAACTGAACGAATTGTACACTTGGAACATTAAACTTGGATCTGTAGCACAACATAAAGGTAAAGGGACCCCTGACCGTTAGGTCCAGTCGTGGCCGACTCTGGGGTTGCGGCACTCATCTCACTTTATCGGCCGAGGGAGCGGGCATACAGCTTCTGGATCATGTGGCCAGCATGACTAAGCCGCTTCTGGCGAAGCAGAGCAGTGCACGGAAATGCCATTTACCTTCCCGCCAGAGTGGTACCTATTTATCTACTTGCACTTTGATGTGCTTTCGAACTGCTAGGTTGGCAGGAGATAGCACAACATAGTGAGTATCAAATAACAACTTTGTTGCATTCGCATGGGGTTCACTTACGGAAACCTTCCAATGTGATTGCGCATAATTGGGTGAACCTGTTCCTTCATACTGTCAAAGGGCAGGACTGAATGTCCGTAGAAATACTCGGTTCACGGCACATTTCCGCAAAGTGCTACTCAGAATTGGTTGTGCGTTGAACATGAAATATATCTTATAGCCTTCCCACACTTCTGTTGTTGGCCCTGGTTGATCATTGCAGCCCCACTGAAGCGACTGGAATGGCACAGTGGTTGAACTGGTATAAAAACAGCATCAGTTGTCTTGATGTACCATGAGCTGCAGGGTTCTATAAAGTGCATGAGAGCTGGTGTGGCAGAGTGGTTAGAGTGTCAGGCTTGGACTTGGGAAATCAGGGTTCGAATCCTCAGCCACAAAGCTCACTGGGTGACCTTGAGCTGGTCATTCTCAGCCTGGCCTACCTCATAGGGTTGTTGTGGCAATTAAATGGGGGAGGAGAATCAGGAATGGCACCTGGAGCTCCTTGGAGGAAAGGGTGGGAAATAAATGCATTAAATAAATGATTTAACTCCATCCAAATGCCTTGTCTGATGCTATCTGTTCCCGTGTTCCAAATACCGCGGAACATGTGGGAAAATAATATCTGGGATGCAGCAATGTCTGAGGGTCTCACCTTCCAAGAAACATTGACCCCTTTCATTAAGAATGTTAATGACCAAAGTCAAGACCTTGTATACCAACCGCTCAATATTCTCAGTGGAGAGGTTTGATCAAGTAATATGCATGACTGTTGAAGGCAGTGGTGTAGCGTGGGGGGTGCAGGGGGGGCTGGCCGCACTGGGCGCAACATCTGGGGGGGGCACGCTCGCTGCCTCCGGAGTCGCTGAAGAGCCTCGGGCGCAGGCTGTAGCAGAGCCCCATGTCTCGTGGAACCAACGAGTTGGCAGCGGCTCTCAGCGCTCGCCGCAGTCCCCGCGCGTCAGGGCCGCGGAGGGCGCGCCAGGCAGCCCTCCTCACAGCCCCGCTGCCGCCGCTGCTGCTGCTGCAGCTGCTGGGCCATGTTGCATTTTCCTCACCTCTCTGCCCTCCTCCTCCTCCGGGCAAGCGGCGTCGTTTGGGCGGCAGCGCCAGCGGCAACTCGCCTCAGATCACCTGACACGGACCTGCCGCCGTGGCTACCTTACCGTAAATACCCCAGCCCAGGCAGCAGCAAGAAGAAGCTGGCAGCGGCAGCAGGTTAGGGGTTAGGGGGCGCAAATTACTTGCCTTGCCCCGGGTGCTGACAACCCATGCTACGCCCCTGGTTGAAGGTACTAGTGGATGTCTAGAGACAACAGTTAAAACAAACACATTATTAACTGTACTGCTTGATAAGTGTTTAATGGTTAATGTATTTGTTTAAAAACAAACACATTTTGAAATAAATTAATAAATCAAATGATTTAATTCCACCCCAATACCTTGCCTGATGCTATCTGTTCCAATTTTTTCTTTCCAGGAGAAAATTCAGGAGCCTGCTTCAAAGCCAATATCCTCTGGATCTTGCACATCAGCCTTTGTGGGGGAGAAAGGATGTCTTAATAAACCTCCAACTTTTCCCCACCGCAGTGTTTGTCCATTGATGAAAGAAACAGCTTCTCACCCTGGGTTTTCTTCATTTCCTTTTCATCTTACGCTTGGAGCATGAGGGGGAAAAACTACTGCATTTGGAGTGATTGCCAATTAAAATGTGCCTAGAATTTTAAAAGTCTCTCTTCATTATGTATTTGTCACATTTCTATCCCACCCTGATCGGCCATTTTATCCTCTCCCCAACCCTGTGAGGTAGGCTAGATTGAGACAGTGTGTGTGTCCCCCAAGATTACCCAGTTTGAGTTTATGTTGCTTGATTTTCAAGTTAAAAGCCCAGCAGAAAAATTGAGTTTCTTGAAAAATGCCATCTTTAATAGAGAAGGAGTTGCTTACCTAGGAATTAACTGTCTCCTATCCACACCTCTACCAAAATTACCATGATTCTTCCAAGTCAAACAATAGAGCTTCTCTCCTTCAATGGTAGAGGGGAGTCAGAGTAGAGGCAGCCCTGTTAAGTTGTGGGTGAACATATCAGACGACACAGTGATTCTTCAGACAGCTCTTGTTTATTCACAGGCCAGAACAGAACTGAACTGAAGGGTTCAGCCAGCCTGCTTATATAGAGCTCCACTACAACGCAACAGTAACCACTTTCTGTAACTATCCAATCACTGAACGTCACTTTCAATTTGCATATGCGGACCTGAGTCAGAGTAGAGGCAGCCCTGTGGAGGGAACATCTAGACATTGCTCTCCTGCAGGAGACACATCAAAGCAGGAACCAGAGGGCTGCTTACTGAAAGGACCCTGGATAGGCAAGCAACTCCAGAGTTGTGGCTGTCCTGATAAGAAAGCGCTGCCCTCTGAGTGTTGAGGAAAATTTGGCAGAGCTGGCAGGCAGCTACCTCTTTGTTTGTGGCGTCATAGGCAGTCATCCAATCACCACTGCCTGTTTCTATGCACCCAACTTAGCACAACAAGACTTTATCCAGAAGACACTAACAAAATTAGACCATTTTAAAAGAGGGCGACCATAATAAGAGGAGACTTCAATTGCTGCAGCGATGACTCTAAGGACTGGCACAGGCACCGATCGGTGAACAAAGTCTCCAACCCACTCTTGGCAGAAACGTTGACTGAATGGGACCTGGTTGGATACCTGGCAGGCACTGCAACTGGAAGGCAGGGAATTGCGTGGCGGATTCCTGCCCCCCCCCCAAGTGGAAATAATGACACATGACACAATTATTAAGGTTAATGGGCTAATTAAGGCCACAACTTTATTGGCTACAGGTGATGAGCAGTATTGGCTTAGGCATTGGTCCTAACCGACTATATTTGGCTTCAGCCTGTCCACTTGAAGTCCGGGAAGGGTTAACCATCAGTAAGGGGAGACCTGCTGATGCACATCAACTAGGCACTCCCGCAGGGCCACCAATTGGGGGCCTTAGGCCCTCACCTCCATAGGCTTCGGACAGGGCCTTGCCCCCTGGAATCCTTTATTGGACTACCCTTCAATATGAGGGGCAGGTGATGGCGTTACCTTCCCTCTTCCAATTACAGAACTATATCAATGCCTAAGGGGACGCGGGTGGTGCTGTGGGTAAAAGCCTCAGCGCCTAGGGCTTGCCGATCGAAAGGTCGGCGGTTCAAATCCCCACGGCGGGGTGCGCTCCCGCTGCTCGGTCCCAGCGCCTGCCAACCTAGCAGTTCGAAAGCACTGCAGTTCGAAAGTGCAGTTCGAAAGTGCAAGTAGATAAATAGGGACTGCTTACCAGGGAAGGTAAACGGCGTTCCGTGTGCTGCGCTGGCTCGCCAGATGCAGCTTTGTCACGCTGGCCACGTGACCCGGAAGTGTCTCTGGACAGCGCTGGCCCCCGGCCTCTTGAGTGAGATGGGCGCACAACCCCAGAGTCTGTCAAGACTGGCCCGTACGGGCAGGGGTACCTTTACCTTTACCTTTTATCAATGCCTAACCGCCAATACCAAGAAAGTTGTGACGATTTGCTACGAGGTAGGCAAAAACCAAGTGGCTGGTGCCAATTTGCCAAGTGGAAAAAATTCCTACCAGGCCCCTCAACGGCAACCAACCAAGGTCCATAGCAAGGTCAACCTTATAGGGCGGGAGGGTGGGGAAAGCAGGAACAGCTGGCAGGCGGCAAAGAGGGAGGTCCCAGGCCACGTCCTGGTTTAAATAAGGCGGGCCACACCCCAAGAGCCAGCTGATTAGCCAGGAATCTCCCCAATCAAACGGGGGCTGGATTCCAGTCGCCACGCGCATGGTGGGGCCGTGAAGCCAGCAACTCTACCTTCTCTGAATGGCAGAAGTGGCTTTCTCATGTTTTTCTCATGAATCAATGTCACACATGAACCCAATATTAATACCCAAAGGTGATCTTCATTAGGTGGCGAGTGCAGAAATTGGGTCTGTGACAGTCTCTGATCATGCACCAGTCTCCATTAACTTAAACTTTGGTGCACTTCCCCCCAGGACCCACACAACTGGTACTTCTCCCTGATGCAGGGTCTAAAGATTGCTTAGTATGTATCAACAATTATTAAGGTGTAAGATCAGCCTTGGGACGCGGGTGGCGCTGTGGGTAAAAGCCTCAGCGCCTAGGGCTTGCCGATCGAAAGGTCGGCGGTTCGAATCCCCGCGGCGGGGTGCGCTCCCACTGCTCGGTCCCAGCGCCTGCCAACCTAGCAGTTCGAAAGCACCACCGGGTGCAAGTAGATAAATAGGGACCACTTACTAGCGGGAAGGTAAACGGCGTTTCCGTGTGCGGCTCTGGCTCGCCAGAGCAGTGATGTCACGCTGGCCACGTGACCCGGAAGTGTCTCCGGACAGCGCTGGCCCCCGGCCTCTTGAGTGAGATGGGCGCACAACCCTAGAGTCTGTCAAGACTGGCCCGTACGGGCAGGGGTACCTTTACCTTTTTAAGATCAGCCTTGGCAGCCAACAGAGGAGCTTTAGGCTGGACATACTGGTTTCTGATTTTTACCACCTCTGAGAGGAATTTTGCCACAGTATAATGGTATGAATTTTATCCTCAAGGGGAACATTGATGTGAAAAGAGTAAGAAACCGGTGAATGTCCACTTCCAATTAAGGCCTGGTGGAGTGCTTTGAAATATTGGCATATAGGGCCTATGAGAACTGGCTACTCCTTCATTTGGTAAATTAGGAGTACAGGAGCAGGTCCCAGTCTCCTCCAGGTTGAACATCCCCAACTGCCCTCCATAAGGCTTGGTTCTCAGACCCTGGATCCTTCTGAAACTGTGGTGCCCAGAACTGGACACAGGACTCCAGATGGGTTCTGACCAAGCCTGTTGCCCTCAGACCTGTGCTCTGCATGTGGGATGGGTGGGCATGATCTTATTCTTTGACTCTCAAACCAAAATGTCTTGGGTCAGCCAAGAAGGAAGCAAAAGACAGCAAATCTTCTGAAAGGCCCTCCGTGGAAGAGAGCCCAGCATCAACAGGTAAAAGGTAAAAGTTAAAGGACCCCTGGACAGTTAAGCCCAGTCCAAGGCGACTATGAGGTTGTGGCGCTCATCTCACTTCCAGGATGAGGGAGCCAGCGTTTGTCCACAGAAAGCTTTCCGAGTCATGTGGCCAACATGACTAAACCACTTCTGGCTCAATGGGACACCATGACGGAAGCCAGAACGCACGGAAACGCAGTTTACCTTCCCGCTGCAGTGGTACCTGTTTATCTACCTGCACTGGCGTGCTTTCGAACTGCTAGGTTGGCAGGAGCTGGGACAGAGCAACAGGAGCTCACCCCGTCACAGGGATTTGAACCACTGACCTCCTGATCAGCAAGTCCAAGAGGCTCAGTGGTTTAGACCACAGCGCCACCCACGTCCCCAGCACCAACAAAGCCAAGGCCATACACCTAAAGCATGTTTAAACAATGCATATCATTTTAACTGTTACAGCTTTCCCACAGAGAGTCCTGGGAATTGTAGTTCACTCCTCACGGTGCTACGATTTCCAGCCCCCTTAACAGACAGCAGTTCCCATGATTCTTTGGGGGAGGGAAGCTACCACTGGTTAAAGTGGGATAAGAAGGCTTTGAACGGATGGTGTGTTGTTGACCCATGAGAAGGACTGGTTCTAACACTTGGGTCAAATATTTGCCTCACTCCTAAGAGATCATCTGTGGCCCACACCTTGAAGACAAACACGTCCGGACTTTTCTCTCATCTCTGAGTAAACTCTGTTTAGCAAACAACAAGCATTCATTGTTTGAAGTTTGGAATTGAATCCCATGGATGATTACCCACTAAATACCAAATGCTTTCAATCTCAGGAAATCAGAAGAGGGTGGAGGTGCCTCTGTCTCCTTGCACCTTCACTAAGGGCAAATTCCCAGTCAAATGGTATGATGTAATACCACACTTTGGGATTCTTAGCAATGACAATAAAGTTTTTTTTGTTTTAAGAGAAAGATGGAGTTTTATTGTTTCTGTGATTGCGCATCAGGGTCTCGTACCAGCAACACAAGGGGAGAGTTCTTCGTGCTCTTTCTAAACTGGGTGCTATCTTTTGTGAGAACGGTCCCTGGTTGCTGAATTACAGGTTATGGGGTTTGAGGAGTTATTGCTGAAAAATTGCTCCCTGATTTCTGCTGCATCCAGGCAGTTTACAATACAGTGGTACCTCGGTTTACATACGCTTCAGGTTACAGACTCCGCTAACCCAGAAATAGTGCTTCAGGTTAAGAACTTTGCTTCAGGATGAGAACAGAAATCGTGCTCCGGCAGCGCGGCAGCAGCAGAAGGCCCCATAAACTAAAGTGGTACTTCAGGTTAAGAACAGTTTCAGGTTAAGAACGGACCTCCGGAATGAATTAAGTACTTAACCCGAGGTACAACTGTACATGAAAATGTCTAGGATTGGCTTTCATCATCCATGTGATGTGACCCAACCTTAATTTTGCAGGTTAAAGGTTGGGCTGAGGCTTATTTGAATTCTAACTCAGAAATGTCCTATAGAAAAGGACCCCTCTGCTACTCAGTATTTTTAAAATTTGACAGTACAAGGACTAGCTAGTAATATTGGAGGACCATCACATTCAGTTTGCCCCGAGTTTCCTAGTACTGTAGAGGAATTGACCGCCTCTCCTGGTATGCCCCGCGGAGGACCTTAA